CAGCGCATGGATGCAACATGTGGCAGACTAAGGCAGCAACTGAATGGCAAATTGTTCAAGCCATGGATGGCGTGCATTGCATCTCCACATTATATATCTTGATACAGTCTGGGCCAGTCATGAAGTACTAAGTACAGGCATCACGAGGTGCAACTTCTCGAAACATTGCCCCACGAAGAACAGGGATGTCTTCTCCGAGTAGCGCTTGGTGCTATCGCTGTGCGGATTTCGACTCGACCAAAAAATGGTCTCAAGTGAGTTGTTTTTTTGTGGTGGTGTGGGGCTTATACACTGGGTCTGTACCTACGCCTGGGCTCCCCTCCCAAGCAAATGCCTACGCGAGAGGTTCTCTTTGTTAGGTGCCTACGCGGGATGCCTACGCAGGGCACTGGTCACATCAGGTTCCTGTTCACAAGGCGTTTGCAGCTTTTCTACCGGTTGCCAGATAGACTTTGTATCAAACCAATCCAATTAGCAGCAGCAGCAGGAGCGGACAAACTGCACAGAAGCAGCAATCAAGGAACACAGAAGCAGAACAAAAACAGCAGACAAGCAGTGCAGCAGCAGCACACAAACAGCACAAGCAGCAGCCAAGCAGCAGCAGAAGCAGCAGCCAAGCAGTAGCCAAGCAGTAGCAGCAGCCAATAGCTTCTTGCCTACGCGCTGCTTACGCGAGCGCCTACGCGGGGCCTACGCGAAAATAGGTCGGTTGTTGGGAACCAAAGAGTTTAGCCGGCTGCCCACATGGTGTAAGCTGTCGGGCAGTCCAGAGCTCAGTTTGCTCCATCGATAACGGTACTAACAGGGTGTGCACACTTGTGGCTCAAGAGCCGGTGTGCCAGACCAAGCATGATCAAGCTTTTGACCTCGAAAGCCAAAGTGCCCCCATAGCTTCGACAAACAAACTTCAGACATCCACTGCAGCCATGCCATTACAGTTCATTTTCCTTGAGTTCCCCACTGGATTTTGCAAGAAAGTGCCAAGTTAAACAACTACAAACCAACATTATCTTTCCCAAGACCCTTGAACAACTGTTCAAAACATCTGGAAAAGAAAACTCATGCTTTCATTCAACATGTGCCTATGCAAGACTGCCTACGCAAGTCTTTCAACACCCACCTACCCAAAATGCTTACACGACGCCTATGCCCCAAGCAGAACAGCCTCCGCAACTTCTCAACAGTTCCCTTTTTGTATAAACCTATATAATCCATAAATATATATAAATCTATATAATCATTTGCACAAAAAAACTGGCTCAAGTGTCCTTGGCGCTTCAGCTGCTCGTGGGGCTCGGGGGGGCCCTCCATCCGCAAGAGGTCCGCGACCTGACCGCAGTCGTGTTCGCGCGAGGCGGAGAGGGGCCGTGGTTACGCCATTGCACCACACATCGAATGGCCTGATCGTATAGGGCCTTGGTGGAAGATTGTTTTTGAAGCAATGAAACGAAGCATGGCGGCTGCATTGTTCGATCAAATGTGGCCAAAAGAGGATGTTCTTTTTCGGGAGAACGCCCCAAGCAGGTGACGGAACGGTACCTGGCATCCGCCCAAAATTTTGTGCCGCCCTTGGCCGGGAGATCATTGCCACCATCAACGGGTCATGTTCTTGCATCTGGAAACACCCTAGCAGTCCAAAGACTATATTTTGACCGGCTGAAGTAAAGGAAGTTCCCTTTCAGGTCCCCTAGTCAGACCATTCTTTCTATAGTCTTCGACTCCCAGGGTACAGGTCTTGTTCTTTTGATCTTCTCCTTCAGGGATTCACCCAGGACACGCGGGTTTCCCATTTCCCCTCCCCCCAAACACCCCATGTATGGAACAAATGCCTATACATTATATGTATACATTGACCTCTGAAACCATTTCATTGTAGGTGGGAAAACACCAGGACCCTTCTGTCAGGGTGTCCTGGCTGAACTACCCCACACTACCTATACGCTTCCAGACAGGGCACCCCTTGGAGGTTCCTGGTATGAACATGTATGAACCAAGTATCTGGGATAGGGACAATAACAAATCTCACCAGGTCCACCGTCGGACGAACTCGAGGCGACCAGGATTGAGACCCATTTTCTGGGCGACGGCCTCACCCTTAAAGGGTGTTTTTGGGGTAAAAGCCTGCGAAGCCCTTCCCCGTATGTACGATGTGTTTTTGTATACATCAGGAAACAATTCATGACTTTGATTGGAAGCCCTAGGTCCAATCATCCTCTGAAGCTTCGTATCAAACGTATCGTCATCATCTGCTTGTACGAAGCATCTGAGGGACGGTCGCTCAGGCTGAGCCCCACGACGTGGAGCGCCGAGCCGCTGTCCCAAACGACCAGGACCGACCAGGACCGACTAGGACCGTCAGGAGTTGGGTGGTGAATGGACACCCCTTGCCTCACCGGCTTTTGGGGGCTATAAATAGACACCCCGACAGGAGGGTGGTATATTCTTCAGTTGATGAATCAATGACTATACCCTATGCCATAATGCTTCCATGTAGATTCTCGATTCATAAAGCTCCCCCATCTATTTCTGACCAGACTCCCGGAAGCGGTCGCTGACTGACTCGCTTCAGCATGAGAGCAAGAATAAAGCCCCCCATATGATCCCATATGAAGTTTTACAGTCCATGTCTGAAGGGCTATTAATGAATAGCCTACATCAGTCAGATCTAGTGAGGGGAAACATCAACAAATGACCTGAGCTGCCTGTCATCTTTGGGCAGTCAGGCCAACGCAACTAGCGGCCTAGCCTTGACCACATACATGGGATAGAGCTGCTCATGCACCCTCTCCGCGCGCGCATGTACATCGGGCGCATCGTCGACCGGCGCGCAGGCCACAGCGCCCATCGCAGTGGCGCAAAGGGGGCTTGGGCTGAAACGCTGAGAGCCAGCAGAAACATGCATCTCCTGGCTGCGCATGGAAGACCAGACGACAACCCACGGAATCATGCGTGAGCAAAGAACAGTTTGAGTGGCTGACCGTCAGGCACAAGGGTCTAATCTATGTTTGACCTCTATCAGTGTACGGATAGGGCCATACATAGCGTGAAAAACAAGAATATGCTGGCCATGTCTTGAGTACTTCCTCACCTGCCAGCAATAGTGGCGGGCTTTGTGTGGGTCAGACCATGTCAGACCTTACCGTTTGTCAGAAGATTCTCATGATTCATGAGACATGCCAGGCTGCCTGTCCAGAACGCAGTCCATGTCCTTGTCGACTCTCCAAAATGCATCCAAAATACCTATTCAACGACCAAGCCACCCCCAAAAAAACATGCACTCCTTACAAGCTACTCCAACAAGGCCAAGCCAACTGACTGCTGTCAGGACCGCCCAGCTAGTCACCTACTCCAACAAGGCCAAGCCAACTGCTGTCCTGTCAAAACCGCCCGACTGAAGCCCCTGAAGCCCCATGGTCTCATCCGAGAGCCCCTGAAGCCCCATGTCTCTGGCGTCTCCGGACCCAAGCGTTGCTGGCCGTCGAGGAGGCTTCGTTGTTCAGGCCGGCGATCTTAGAGCGACGGGAGACTCCCACGGTGGCAGTGGCCCAAACGCTCCATGGGACTGGCATATATGACCATATATCCACAGTGTAGGCAAATATGCCTGTCGCATGGAGTGTCTATAGAGTGCGTGGGGTGGGCACAGCACCGCGTTTGCGGGGGGGGGGAACCGACCCATGTTTTGAGATCTTCTCTGGCCCCTCGCATGGCCTTTTGATGCCCTTTGGATCAACACTGGGTTCCACATGGATTGGAGGGACACAGTCATAATAGAAGCATGTGTATAGAAAAAACATGAAACACAAATCGATCACGTTTGCACTGAAGGAAGGGCTCATGCTGGGACAAACAGTTTGTTTTCAGGCAGTCTGTATGAGAACCATTGATTTCTGTGACCAGGAAGCGGAGGGAACCCCACCACTGGTCTTTGCATGCCTTTGCCGATTTCAATCCCAAGGGCAACAAACATGCGCATAATAACATACAAACACATGATAACACATGTAAAAAGAATTCAAGAGCCATACACAGCCAATTGAAACTTGGTCTTTCAGTTGGCAAGTCAAGCACTGGTGCTGGGGGTTGGTCTAAAGTTGAGAAATACCATCAAACGTCCTCCTCCGCCGCCTGCGCAGCAAATCAGCTGCTTGCTCCAGTGCGATACGGTGCGCTCTGTTTTGGTCGCAAAGGGGTCGGTCCGGCGGGTCGAGGCGGCAGGGCTGGGATGGTCCAGAACTGGTCACCTTGATCTGAAGCTATTCGCATCTGAAGTTCATGGATGGTTCACCTTGTTTCCATCTAAAGTCTATGGTCACCTTGTTCATCTGGAAGTTCATGGATGTGGTTGTTGCTTTCTCCTAATCTTGTTTGTGGCGGGAAAAGGATTCAACATCTATTGTCCAACCATCTCTAGACATGTCCCGAAATTGCTCATATTCCTGGTCAGAAGACGTCATTGCAGCCACTCTGGACAGGTCAGGTCTATGTCTGTGATGTCCCTTGTTCTTTCGGGTTGGTCTTCTTTTTCTCCCAGCCCATATGCCCCGGACACCCCGGAGTGTCCCGCGTTCTGGAAGATCGTCTCACGTGTCGTCCGGCAGAGCGGTGAGGACGAAGCCCGTCATCTCCCGGATGGTGGGGTAGTCGAAGACGAAGGTCAAATCCATCTCGGGAATTTGCGGGAACTCCGCCTGGCCAAAGCAATGCATGTATGATTACAGTATATATGTATTATATATATATTGTTATATATATATATATAGAGAGATAGATATTCTACACATTAACAAAAACACTCTTAAGGGAAGTGGATGGGTTGGCCGGCTGGAACCTGGGAAAACTATTTGCAGACTTAAACGGGGGTGGTCTACTTCCCTGTTTGTTGGAGAGAGGGGAATATTGAAACTGGCGGTGGAGAGTCTAAGAATGAGGCACTTGTTGACCCCAATAGATGGGAACATTGGGAAAACCAAGGCATCTCCCTTGCGTGCCTGGATGCGGTCGCGAAGCATGATGCTGGCGATGCTGGTCATGCCCGTCTCCATCAAGGCCCGGTCTTCCTCCTTGGCCGTGGTTCAAAAAAAAATGCGAGCAAAGCGCATCAAACTTTGATGATGTGCATTAACATCAAATGACTACAACGACAACAAATACTGCTTCTCTTTCTAATACTGTAGTACGCCTACTACTACTGCTGCTACCGCCACTGCTGCTACTGCTTCTACTACTACCACTTCTTCCTCTACTACTGCAGACTGCTTCTACTCTTCTTCCTAATCTACTCCCACTATGTTAACGAGATTCCTTGAGCTGCCGTGATAATTGTGGGTGTATGAAAACAGCGAGCAGAGTTACTAGTCACCTCATGAAGCGGCAGTGCCTTCAGGTGGTTCATGGGAGTGCCCATCTAGACAGGAAAATGGCCTCCAAAATGGTTAAGCCAAGTCTTTCTCTCTTTGATTCTCTTTGTGCTGTTCAAACAGCTAGCCGCTACGAGATTGCCCATTCTGGGGATGGATTCCAGTTCGTCTATCATCAGGATGCGTAATGTCAACACAGGATTAACCAACCCCCCAATTAATCAAGCCCAGCTGGAGCCTCCAATACTAAACTAATTACTGTAAAACCCTGCAAGCTCCCCCTGTGTTCCTTGCCAAAAGCCCCCTACTAATCAAGCCCAGCTCCCCAGAAAAACAAAAATATAGTTTACGAGCGGAAGCGGTTTCTTACCCCAACACCTATTACCTACCCCACCCCAATGGCTCAACGAGTTACCCCAGGGAACCAAAAGTTACCCCACACATCCAAACCCCATGGCACAGCGGTTCTTATGTCCTGTGTTTCTTCTTGCATTGTATCCTAAAACTATGTAGTTCCCTTGCGCTTTCAATGTGTGGGATTGACCATTATGAACATCTTTGACCCCAGAAGTTTGTAAGATCACCATGGCACACCTTGTTTCACCCCAGTCGAGGCGCCTTCCCAAACCACGCCGCCCTTGCAAATGGTTTTCCTGTTTCTTTGGAAGTGAAACGTACCGGTGAGATCTGTTGGACACCCAGCTCTTCAGCCACATGTCTCTAGTGTGAGGCTTCATCAACACTCGTGATGAAACAATTTCATGTTGCACCAAACTTGACAATGGCTTCCCCTTGGTGCATTTTGCTTTCAACTGACCGACGTAAAACTTGACCGCCGGCATTGCGCCCTCCCGCAAGCTAGCCTTAAAATGGCCCAAGATGTAATTGCAAACATCTTCTGGGTTGTCAAGGTCAAACTCACAGTTTTCTTCTGCTTCTGCCTGCTTCCCTTGAGCTTCTGGAGCTTTTGCTGTTGCAGCTGGGGCCGTGCTTGGAGCAGCCTGTGGCCCCTTGGTCTGTAGCGCCGGTGTGGCAGGCACAACTTGGGGCGCAGGGGTTGTGGGAGCAGGAGTTGGCGGGGTAGGAGCTGGTGTTGTGGGCGCACTTTCATCTTTGGATGGGGCTCTCATCTTGCTGAGCATATCGCCCCAAACCTTGACCAAATGTTTGTCTAAAGCATCTTGCAAATCCACCAAGGCGGTCGCTTTTCGCCGATAACCCTGTTGGCGGGCCCCTGCGTCCACTGCCTGCGCTATGGGGTCGAAAGCTTCATTCTTTGCACCGCATGTGGGACAGAACTGATGTCCAGGTTGCACGAACATCGCACGCTATCAGGCGCTCTCTTGTAGCCCTTGGGCGGTGAAAGAACTTTGTCTGCGCAGTCACTCACATAGTTCCTCTCCTGCTTGGGCACCGTTTTGCGAAAGAGGTGTGGTCCTCGTTCGAGAAGGACCTTCTCCCGACACAAAGGCTTCCCAAGAGTCATCCCAACACTAGCAAAGCCCTTGAGCACATTCTGTGAAGAATACGCTTTGTCCCAGCACTCATGACAGGCGTCCAACGCCTGCAGCGTCGAAAAGTTGCTTTGTTTTGACCGGCATTCACTCCACGCACGTTCGAATTCTCTGTTTGGGGCCTGGTCAAGTGGCATCAAAGCTGCCGTGTGGTAAGGAGCTAAATAGAAAGGTCGGCAACGATACTTTGCCGACAAAACGCCAATCTCTGTCGCAAAATGCGACATGCTCCCTCCACCCGAACCCATGATGATCACGACTTCTTCATCCATTGAAACGTTGCCTTCACTGCGCAGCCACTGGCAGAAGTGTGCGTAATACTCGATGAACAAGTCCGTGGTCACAGCCCCACGCCTGATCTTTCGAAACATCGGTGTTTCTTAAAACCACCTTGAAAAACACACCCAATCAAAAACTTTCTGACATTTTCATCTGAAATGCTCGGTCGCTTTCACGAAAGCACAAGGCCACACGCGGGCCCAGGCATGCATCTCGGCTTGCCCACTCACTGTGATGTACGGTGGAGAGACTCGGCCATCGAGGCAAATGAATGGCATCACCGTGATGTGCCGGAAGTTGGAAGAACCAGCCGCGCAGTTGGGAACACCCAATGACTTCACGGACAAGGAGCGAACAAATTTCAGCTTACCAACGTCGTCTACCATCGCCTTCTCGTCCACAGCCCACACTCTGTGTGCATTCTGCAGCTCGCCACCGAGCTTTGGAAGCGCACCAACGTCGAGGAACACCTTCTCAAACGCATCAAAATGGGCCTTGACGGACTGCTCACTGCACTGTGCGGCTTGTTCCCCTTTCATCCCAACGACCTTTTTGCTTAACACCTGCTCGGTTTCTGGCTGTGTCCGCTTGACCCACTCAAGCCAAGACCTGAAGACGCTGTCCATATTCTTGTCCTTTGCATACTCAGTGTATGAAGACCAATCCACTGGAGATTCTTTGTCGACCACACCAATGTTGACCAGGTAAAACCTGCAGGGGACCAACTAAGAGGAACCAAAGCTGAGGTGGAAGGTAGAAAAGAAAAAATAGAGAAGAACTATGAAACCGACGTGATTTATGCACTGCTCCAAGGCGCCGCCACATCGCTTTCTTGGCATCCTTGCTTGTAAAGACACTACAGCTCTTCTGCATGACCTGCGCGTGCGTAAGGAGATCCTGCTTTTGCTTGGACGTGAGCGCGCCTTTAGTGCGTCTTCCCAGCACAGAACTCAGCTGGCACCTCGGCCGGCGGGCTCTCACCATGCTGGTCTAGATACTTGCGAACAGCTGACACTTTCTTCCGGTTCACAGCGTAGTCTTTCAAGCGCCTCTCAGCATCGACCGCAGAATCAAACACATTGAGCTGCAGAAGTGACACTACATCGGCATACATGTAGAAGGAGTCCTCGTAGTTTGCTAGATGATAAACATGAGAGTTCTCAGCTTCACGGAGTCCTTGCTTGAACTCCCTCCACTTTCTCTCAAAATCTTTGAAGGAAGTCACTGCGGTAGGTGCCCTGGGTGATTGGGCTGTCCTGTGGTGAAGGTGAAGGCTTGGGAGAAGGAAGCGTCTCTTTGAATCTTTCTCTTTCTTGAAAGCTCATGTTTCTCCATGCGTCTAAAGCGTCCTTCTTGCTAATGCCTTGCTCCGCTTGCTTCTTTTGCCACCAAGTGCAAGCACTCCACTTGGGTGGTGTCTCAACTTCCACACCAGGAGAATTGCCGTCTGCAACTTCAACCCGCGGCTTCTTTGCAGAAACCTGCACGTCAGAGTGCACTGCTTCCTGCACTTCCCAGCATTCTCGGCTCAGTGCGCTCGGCAATGTTTCTGTCAAAGCAAGCCTTGCAAAAGTTTGGGAACAAGGACTGCTCGCTGGCCGCACTTACTTGCTTGCAATCATGGCATGTAGGGGGGGTTGAAGGCGCTGGCAGCGGAGGTGAAAGTGGTTCCCGCGCAGGAGCTGCCTCTGCAGCAGCCAGTCCTGCACAAGGCGAGGTCATTCCAAAACACACTACTTGTTCAAAACGCATGCCTACCCAAACGAGGCCCAAAACGAGACCCGAACGAGACCCTATTTCACCTCCATGGCACCACCTACCCAGTCTGTTCCAAATCTTACAAGAAATCACTAATCAGACTCCTGCCAGTTCTGTTGTCACTGTGGCAGCAGTGGTGGAAGTCTCTGTGGTGGAAGGCGCAAGAAAGGCAGGTCTTCCTTCCATGACACGGGCCAACATAGCTCTCAAGTCCAACTCTGTCGCTCCCGAAGGTGCAGTCACTTTCCATGCACCTATAGTGCTCCAACAAGGCAGCCTGTGACAGGCGGAGGACCTTGCTGGCCGAGAGTTTGTTTTTTCGGCGGCATGGCTGCAACACAGCGGAGTCGACCGTAAGCCTAGTTTGTGCCGCTGTGCCCCTGCAAACTGTAAGCACTCTCTGGCTGATTCTTCCTTCCAGTGCCTAGGCCGAAAAAACCGCCCCCCTTAAGGGCTTGGAAAATCCATGCATCTGGGCCGAAGAACAGTGGCCAGCAAACAAGCATCACAAGATCTGCAAGTCTCAGCTGGCCTGGAAAACCAATGACACAAACGAAGATCCCTCTAACCTTCCGGATGCTTTCCTGCACACTAGACTAGCCAGCACACATATTATAAAAACATGTATATATCAACTCTCTATTTCTATTGATAGAAGAACAGGTTTTTGCAAAACCCTTTCTGTGCACTACCCTTCCGGTTGTCCCTGATAGAGGAGGCGTGTCGCACACTCCGTAAACTTGCAAAGCAAGAAGCGCACTTTCTCCATATGTTCCAGCCTCGTGCTTTCCACGACCCCAAATCAATGGACCACAAAGCTAACTAAACAGATCTCAGAGAAACCAGTTCAAGGCTGGCATAGGTGACATGTGCATGCGTCATCTGCGCCACGCTCTTCACATACCTTCTGAGACACTTGGCACACAAAACTCAAGACACGGTGTGTTCGAAGCAAGCTCTCTGACCTGCTTGTGCGTAACAAGCGGCAAGCCTTGAAGCAAGCTGAACACTGACCTCCTGTCACAGTCCTGCGTGTTCCTTTGTGTCCTGCTTGCTTGTAGAGCCAAGCACATTCATGCTTCGCCCTGCCACAAACAAAACACGTGAAGACTGCGTCGTTGACCGTGCCAGGTGCCGTGCTAGTGTTACCTGCTGACTTCTTTACAAGGTCTACCTTCTTGAACACCGCCACGTGGCTCTCACGGAGGCACTTTGCCAAAGCTGCAGCCCTTTGCAACTTCCCATCCTAAAAAAATGCAAACAAAGCTCTGCTCGCATCCATAGAAAACAAAAACCAGCCGCACATGACAATGTCTGCCGGAAAATGAAGGCCTTTTGACATATATAGATATACACATAATAGTTTTATACATATATATACAGTATTTAAAACACCAAATACAGAACTTAGAAACTGCAAAGGTGATAGTAAGCTATTCTGAGCAACCTTCCTAGTCTTCTCAGGAGTGCTTCTGCCAAACTCAGTGTGCTTTCGCTTTGCAGGAGTCTCCGTGGCAGTAGCTTGACCCAGCCACGTGTAAACTTGAGCTCCAGTTGCTACAACCATGCTTTCACACACGGCATGGTATCATGCCACAAGTGAGGGGTACCAGAGAAGAACGAGTTTGATTAATCTCTCAGGTGGCACCAAGTGTGCCTTCTGGATGAATTCTAATGAACAAACCTTCTGTTTGAAGTGCTCATTTATTCTTTGAGGCATCTTTCCTATTTGCCCACAGTAGATCCTAAGTTGGATGGAAACTACATCTAGCATCCTGCGTGCCCTTGTGTTTAAGATCTCTAGTACTGCAAGACTGTCGATCATCTTCGAGATGAGATATGTACAGTAGTTTCCTTCGACCAAGGGCACACCAACATGAGACAACTAAAGGGTGCCCGAGACAAGAAACAACCTTGACCCAGTACTATTTATGTTTACTGTCTGATCAAACCTATCTGATCTCTTATCAAACTTGTGCCAGTACACTCAGACCCTTCATGGTTCTCATGATTTAAACTCTCATGACTCACACACCATCCCATCAACCATCACCCCTCATCAGGTCCAGGTCCTCATCTCATCATCCATGATCAGGTCATCACCTTTATTAGGGGGATGTGGTCTCCAATCCCTCCAATCCCAAACCTTGTTGACCTTGTTGGGGAGGGGGTTGATTAATCCGGTGTCGACATTAGCACCTACTCGACTTGCGGGGTGGTGCCTCTCGCGTAAGGCGGACTCCAAAAGCAAGGCCAAGATTCCATGCCTTCCAAGTTTGTAGCCTCTGCCACCAGCTCGGTAATCGTGTACTTCACCTTCGGGACCGCGCAAGGAAACAACCAAAATTTCAAATCTACTGGAAACACTAAGAATGCATGTTTATGATTGATGTATGAGGTAAGGTCATATAGATTCATATAGTCTTTTTTGGTGGGCGGCTATTGCATGGTCAAATTTGTGAGCCTCCTATCATTTCCCAATGTTAGTTTCAGAACCTTGTTACTGGGGTATCGTTTTCTTGTAAGTCCCCCCTGTCGTTTTGCCAGGGTTTGGTGTCTGGAATGCGTATTGAATGAACCGCTCTTCTGCTTGTCACTTACACCAAAGGCATGGTCAAAGACCCCGCCCACGGTCTTTCTCATCAGTCCCAGATCTTGCTCGACCTGAGGTCACATGTGTAAACACAGCCAAGTCCAAGTGCCCAGTCACCCGTTCCGGCAACGCCAGCTGCATCTTGTCGATCGTCGCAGGCTTCGGACCGCCCGTCGCCGCCGCGCTCGTCGCCGCCGCGTTCGCGGCCGCAGAAGCTGCTCCGGGTGTGGGCGCAGCCGCGCCCGCAGCTGCTGCAGGCGCACGGGTCTTCTGCAAACGGGCAATCATCGATTGGGCCAGTGCAACATCATGCCTGATCGAGGTCAAATCCAGTCCCCAAGTGATCAACATGTCCAAGATGTCTGGGATCTCTTAACAATTACTACATATATACTTCTGCCAGGGCTCCAAATACCTCCTTCTGAGAAACCTTCTGAGAAGATCGTTGGAGCACTAAATTCAAACAGATCAATTCAAGTTGCTAATTTGTCATATAATTAATATATGTGTATACAATTGTATACCTATATATGTTAATTATATATTTCCGTTCTATCAAAATATTTACCTACATGAAAACACCGACAAATACCGACACGCCCTGGCGGGCCCTCCCTGCCACGCCAAGGTGCTTGACCCCTGCTGCCTGAAAACACTCCAAAGCCTCCAGGGTGCACGCCAGGTGAGTTTGAGGTTTGTTATCCCAAACACTCCATGGGACTGGCATATTTGCGCACAAGTTGGGGTGGTTTCAGGGGGCAATGTAGGCATATATAGCATACATGGAGTGTCTGGGATAGTAATATAATATACTAATAGGAGCAAGGACGCTACTAGGGGCTCCTGGCATCGCTACTAGATGGTTTGTTTGATCTGCTGGGTTCTCAACCACTCATCCCCATAGGTGGAACCCGTTTAAAGGGCCCTCCTTCGAACCCTACTCTCTTGATCTCGTGAACTTGCACCAACAAAATGTATGCATATGCAGTGAATGGTATCAATGGTCCACCCGCTTCGTAGTGGGATCTCTTCAGAATCTCAGCTGAGCGTTCTCGCTGTCCATCCAAACGTCCCAGTCAGAACCGAAAGATCATAGCGACCCTCCCCCACTCTGAAGGGAAGCGCTTGAGCATGGCCACCATGGCCTCCTTGGCCGTGGCTAAGTCTGGCTGCCCCTGGAGCACCGACAAATTGGCTTGAAGCATCTTCGCGGAGCCCTGGGCACGCTTGTCACCGCAGGCCACCAACACTGGCAGCACCTCCGGAGCGGTCGTCCGCGGACTCTTGGGACTTCGCCGACGTCGCACTGGGAGTGGTGGCGTGGCGAGCACGAGACGTGGGTTCTGGGTGGGTCGTTGAAACGGAGCTGAAAGAAGTTGAACGAATCGGATATGCCTCGGAATGCGTCGGAGAGGACACATGTGACATGGCTCTAAGTCTTCGCATGGCTTCTGCAAAATGCCAAATGCGTCTGTTCCGTTGCGATCTCTCCGTCATGGCCTCTTTGATCTCTGTCATGGCTTCTTCAAGCAAGCCATTGGAGACCTTGGGAGGCGGGCTAAGCTTGGGGTTGCAGGACTGTGGGCTGGTTGCATGAAGCTATCGTGTTGTACATGATCACACAAACATATATATTATATAATATATATATTATATGTTTTTGGTAGGCGTATTATGCATTATAATACATATGTATGTATGTATGTATGTATTTGGTTGGAGTTTGTAAGCCGTTAAGAAATTTAATGTTCATAATCCGTAAGGCATTCTGGTGGCAATTTGGGGAATGCCTATCGCAGGACGGCGTTCCAAAATGTTCCAAAGGCAGGAGTCCGGGCTTCCCAGACCCTGGTCTTAGCCACTGATATGGGCCAAGAAGGGCAAGAGGAGGGAGCTTCAATATGCTTCAATGGTCATCCCAGGCTTTTTCTGTCCAGCTTTGACCATTAGCCCGGTCTCATGATATTGTCCTCACCTCCGCAAGAGGTCAGACCGTCTCACCAAGCGTCCTTGGCGCGCGCGTGGGCCACGCGTGCAATGGCCATGAGGTTCTCGCTGCCCAGTCGTTTCGACAGAGTCACCGCTTCCTTCGCCTTGGCCAAGACCTCCAGGCAGGACCCCAAGGGACACCCACGAAGAGGTCAGGCCGAAGAGGTCAGGCTGACTCTTGGAGGTCGCCGGAACGCTTCATTTTTTTGTACGGAGGAGAGGCCTGGACCCAGCTTTATGGAGACCACATGATATACAACATGATGCAAATCATGAGTCCGGAAAACAGCTCGGCCAAACGAAATTCAGCAACCCTTTTCTTCGACAAGCTGACAAGCTTCGCCGCACACCGGCCGGTCAACGTCTCCAACTGAACGAAAACTGGAATCAAAGGAACAGCGACGAATGTGTGAACGCTAGCGTTGGCGCAATCCAGCAGTACGACATTGGTCAACCAAAAAAGAACATGTTCAATCTATAATATCATCCCTACCCATTATGCAGGGGGGGACCTGAAAAAATGTAACTTACATTTTCCTGTTCGAGGGTGCCTGGAAAATGTAAGTTACACTTTCTCAGAAAACACTGGAAAATGTAAGTTACAATTTCCAGGCAGTCTGCCTGCAACTGTAACTTACATCTTGAAGGTCATAAACTGTAGCATACTATAGCTGTTTTCCCTCTGCGCTTTTCCCAAGTGCTGGCCTTTGGCCAGTCGGCCCCATTCCCACAGTGGCACGTCCCTCACAAGCATTTCCAAGCGAAATGCCAAGTCCTAGCAAGCTCTAGCCTGCCAACAAGTTTGGAGGGACCACCTGAATCACCTGCCTCACAAATGAAAGCGGGGCTTGTTCAGGGCTTGAAAACCTGCATGTCCACCTGCTTGTGTGCTGCCTGGGGCACACTTAGTTACATTTTCTATCGCCCAACCACTGCCCAGTATTCTCCCTCCCAGCCACAGCTGGTCCAACTTCTACTGTGGAAGTACAAACAGGACAAGAAAGAAAATGTAAGTGAGTTCTGGGTAGGCATGAAATACTCCATTATCACATATGAGCTCATATGGTTCCCTGAACTGTGTGCCACTGGAGGGTTTGCTTCCAGCATCCTTCTTCCAGCATCTCTCAGTCATTGGCCCACCACACTACAACATGCTTGGCCACCCCCCTGTCTCACACCTCCCAAGCCCAAAAAGAAATACATGTAACATAATGTAACTTAGTGTTTGTGCAGGGCTTGAAAACCTGCATTTCCACCTGCTTGTTTGCTGCCTGATCCACCATTTTTTTCACCTCCCAAGCATCACCAAGCCTTATCCCTGCCAGCCAGAGCCAAACAAAATAACAATTTTACCATGTCTATTCTATCTTTGAAAATCTCGTTTAGTCCAATTCGGTATTGTCTTTCTCAACGGCATGTGCCATCGTGGAGCCAAATGCTCTCCATACAGATGCAAGCTCCACGAAGCAAAAAGGGGGGAACAAATGTAACTATACACCTGTGAGACTACCTTGGAGGTATCTTGTTACATTTCTTCCACCCCCCCCCCAAAAAAAAACAAAGCAACATCAGGGGGGGGTCCAAAAATGTAACATAGGCCCCGGGAGGTCCATAGTTACATTTTATAGGGCCCCCCTCCAGAGACCCTGAAATCTTGCCTGGGGGGAGTTGTTACATTTAGGATCCCCCCAAAAAAATGTAAGTTACATTTTTGAGGTCCCCCCCCTCGAAAACTCAGTTTCAGTTTCACCTGTCAGTTTTCCAGGTCTAACAGCTTCTCCCCGCTGTTAAGCGCCTTGTTACGGCCTTTGCCCTCGTAGAACTCCCGGGCTGTGCTGCCGCCGCCCGGCTGAGCGCCGGAGGCCAGTTCCAAGCTGGCGATCTGAGCACGGAAGAGAAGCGAAACTCAGATCTTCTTGCCATGTGTTCCTTGCCATCCACAGGGATCTAACAGCTTGAAGCCACTTGAAGCCATGTGTATATAGCCATTTCTCCTGACAGCTAAGCTACAAAGAAAGCAACATACAGTTTAATCATGACTGTAGATATCATGCTCAGCTGAAACAGCGAAGTCATGACTCATACAAACAACCCCACGACCATTGCCCGCACCTCCTGCACCTCCCTGCCCTTCGGAATGAAACACCCCTATCGCCAGTGCCGGCGAACCCTTATCATCACGTGACTCCTTACATCCCGCCACCTGCGAAGACAGCAAGAGCGCAGCGACTTCTCGAGCAAGTTCTCCAGTCCTCGAAGACAGGTCCCGAGATGGCGGAAAGTGGAACAAAACCCTTCTGAAGTTATTTTTTCTCCCAGTCTTCCTTTAGTGGTGATGCATAGTATGGTCAATTTTGAAAGAGTGCTGGTATCCTGCAAAGGTTGCAAATAGCCTGGTCATGCCTGGTCCTGTCTGAAGTATCTGCTCAAACTATGAAAGACTTCTGTGAGGCCCAAAGGGAAAACTACGCTGCCATTATCTCTATTTCTGGTACACTCTGACTCACTAACATGGAAGTGGACAATGGCGCCTTGGAAGACTATACTGTGACTATACTTTCCCTTACAAACAACGGATTTTCCACTTCCATGTTAGTCAGTCAGAGTGTATCTTTCAAGTCACTCATCACCACATCATGCCAAGCATCTGTCGCAGCAAAGCTCGAGCAGTTTCAGCTGCTAACCTTGCCTTAGCAACCCACTGACCCTGACCCCCCTCCCGTCTCCAGAGTGGTTTTTACATCACCAGGCTGGCGGGGGCTCTGATTCAGCTCCACTGTCAACCTCGGATCGGAACCGACACCTCCTACCCACCCGAAGAGGTTCCTACAACCCCGCCAAAACCGAGCCAAGCGGCTGCAGAAAGGTCTTGGCGCTCCCGTTGCCTCAGTGTCCGTGGCGTGTCTTTGCGCGAGCCAACCTGCCTCAGGTAATAGTCTTGAAAACATCAGACGTTCAACTCGAAGCTCCTTTTGTGTAGCGGCTTGGAAATAACAAAATAAAAATATGAATAATGCCAAAGATACTATATATTACTATATAACTTAATTGCAAATAGACTCATATTTAAACATGTTTAATTGGTTGCTGCCTTTTACCTTCCATATCCATATCCATATCTTGAAGGATTTCTACAATCTGCCCAGAGCCAGCAACATCCAGCAGCCCTGGCCACTGACCCCTTTGGTGGAAATATCTCAGCCCTGGCCACAGGCTTGTCCTATCCCGCCTTTCTCACCACTTCCCTCCACGCCTGACCCATTTCAGTCTTCCTTCCCTTCAGTATATCTGGCCACATTGCCACCATAAACAGGACCTTCACCACGCCCCACCCCCGAAAAGACCACCTGGAGCGCCCCAATTCCCCACAGCGCGACCGCGTGACAGGCGCACCACCAGTCCGGCGGCGCCCGCTTCGGCCAGCGGGTCGCCCACCTCCCGGAAGAGCTCCTAGCGAGGGAGCGATGGAGAAGTGAAGTCATGAAATAAGTAACTGAAACATGGAAGACATGTTACACTCAGTAAGACCAGCAACATGACTTCAGTAAGAAACTAGTTATGTTACTAGTCATGAAATAAGTAACTATAGTTTCAGTAATAGCCTTACACTCAGTAACATGGAAGTGGATGGCATGGTGCTTGGACGACTGCATTCAGTACAAACAGGGGGGAGTTCCACTTTCATGTTAGTGAGTCAGAGTGCAGCCTTCTGTTCGACCATTTTAAAATATGGCTGACCTGGTTTCTGTAGTCTAGAATGCTTAGCACAAACAACTGTGGTTGTTCGGTAAACACCCATTAAATCAACAATGGTGGTTTGAATCCTAGGGTGAGGAAAGCTCCCCTTCCAAGGTTCGGTCAAATGTCTGTATGTCTGTATGTTTCTCCAGTCTGGAAGTGGCAAAACCAAAGACGTATGGCTGTGGTATCCTGTGTCGATGGTTATATACATGTATATCTACACATGAAACAAAGCATGTTGCGTTTTCCCCTTTTTGGGGATCCAGTCGTACCTTCTCAAAAGGTGAGACTGGACCCTCCTGGCACCTACATAGCAGCGTCTTCAATCACCGTACCTGAGAAGGTACGACTGGATCCCGACACTTGATGCTTTCACAGGTTCAATAGGCTGATCGTGCAAATAGACCACAAACAACAGCAAATCGATCCAAATTGGATCTTGCCCCATCAAAGCGAGGGGTCATAGATAGTTTCGCTACGCGTGCATGGGCGCGCACCCACCTGCGCATCGGAGGCGGCGCTGAGGGCGCTCTCCAAATCGCCCAAGCGGACCTTAGCCGAAGGCGCCGGAACTCTCCCAGTCTTTCCGGTTGAAAAAGTGCAACAAATGGACTCTGAGCACTCTTCCCTGGAAAAACAGTTGGATTCCGCCGTAGATTCCGTAGCTTAAAAAGCATTTCCCGAAACTTCCAATCAGACCCATCTTCAACTTCCAAACACCCGGCGCCCCACCCTGCACGCCGCGCACCTGCGCGCCCGCGATGCGGAGGAGGCTCACCGCCTCCCCCAGAAAGTCGTCTTGCTCGCGGCTGAGGTCGCGGGCCAAATTGGCCGAGTCCAATGCCTTGGTCGCTGGTCGGCGCAGGTCTGGAGAAGGTGCCGAGTGCCGATGAGGTTTTTGGATGGAGCATCCAAGTGAACTGGTAAGCAGGGTGACGGCTGGTCAGCTGAGCAACAAGAAGTTCAGTTGTCAATTTGTGTACGTTTCATGAGGATTTAAATTTATCCAGAAAGTAGGGTCCCTCCTAACCAGTGGGTGGGTCTGTGATGTTTTCAGGCTTTGTAGACTTTCTCAAAAGATCTCAAAAAAGACGGGCCCATGATGCCATACTAATGATGCATCCCCATCACATGCAGGTCATTGTAGAAACTCATCATAAACATGAAAAAATACAACGTTCAAACACCTGTAATGTACACTCTTGAATCTTGAATAACAAACCCTCCTTCGGATTGACAACAACCTCTTCGATAGCTACATCATTTTACATTATAAAACATCTATATATAGTTATAAAAGATTAGATCTTTGCCACAGATACGGGCTCGAGGGCTCCGCAGCTGCCCCCACCAGAGAAAACACAGAGAAACCCAAACCTGCCGCGCGTGGTCGGACGTCGGCCCCGGTCCGGTCGGACGTTCTGCGCCTGTTTGGGTGAGCCATTGGCCAGCTGCGCTTGCGAGAGGGTCTGGAGCACCAGAACCTGATCCTCCACGCTGGAGGCGCTGCCTTGGGCGTCTCGCGCCGCTTGAGCACCTGAGCATATGGGCTGGGAGGGTATAGTATATACAATGTAGATGGTGTGGAGGTTGAAGGTTGGCATGGGGTTCAATATTTTTCGTAATGATTCGTCGATTTCATGTACAACCATGTGCGAATTAAATGCATAATATACTTGAGGCTTTTTGTTGAAGAGTTTCTCTCACTTCAAGTGGTCGCCACACCGTCAGGACCGTCAGGTCCGTCAGGTGCTCTGTTTTCTTGAAAGGAAGCCAAGGCAAAAGCTGCCCAGGCACAAGCGACCGCCTTGTCAAAGGGCGCCCCGTGTCCTTTGAGAGGCGAAGCGGAGCCCGTGCCGAAGGCGAACGACCGAGTCGGGATCGTCGGGTCGTGATGCGGTGACAAGGATCCTGACTCCTGGTTGTACAGTCATCACTTGGAGACCCCAATCAGGAGTCAGGACAGACCAAACATGCTTGACCCTGGGTTTACCAAGTGATCCTGTTACAGATCAGGGATCCTGACTCCTAGGAGGAACATAGCTTCACATGCCAAAAGCTTCAGAACTGCTACCCTGCTGTGCCAGATCTTCCCCCCTTCCGCCTACCCGGCATCCGCCTGGTGGCCTCCACCTTGAAGCTCCCCACACTCCATCCCTTCCACCCCGCGCCCCCCTGAACCCCCGCGAGCGTCGCAGTGAGAGTTGCGCCGCCAGGTGCAGCAGCCGCACTTGGCTCTCCTTGTTCGCCGAGTCCTCGAAACGGCTCGCCGAGTCCTGGCGGGTGAGCGGTGCCGGCGTACGGGGAGAGGGCGGGAAACGAGAACACTGGGCTGTGTGTCTGTGTGTTGCGGAGTGCTTTTGCACGGCACCTCATGCAGGCATTCAGAGTCGTACTTCTACATAGATGGTCATGAAATGTCATGAAAGTCTATGACTCCTCCCTCGTAGACCAGATTGATGATCCAACAATTGATCTCCCCCATCCCCCAAAGAATGCGCAAGGGAGGTCCCTTGATATGACACTTTTAGGGGATGGATTTGAGCCAAGGGCCTGTGGGCCCATATGCACACAATTCGAAGCGGAACATTCGTTTCCGGGGCGAATGCCAAACCAGGATGCCAAATGGATAATGCTCACATAATGAGAAAACCATGGCTCCCGGGTGCTCAATCTTTTAGAACCCGCCCAACACAACCATAGCTTTGGATTTGGACTTCCATTGGACCCTTATTATGGATCCTTTGGCTGCACAATTGACGGAACCCGTCTGCAAACCAAGAACCATGAATGATGAAGCTGCAATAACATTCGATATACAGTATCCCCCTGTCCTTTCCCCAAGAACAACTTTGTGTGGCTTAACAACTTGAGGGAACATCAGAAACTTCATGTATATAGCTCGAATCTTGTTGGGAGGGGACGTCAAAAAACCTGTCATGCAGCAATCGCCTTGAGGGAAGTTCACCCCTTTCTCGTCCTAGCAATCAGCCAGGGAAGTTCCCACCCCTTGCTGTGGTCCTTGGCACATTTCACCGCTTCACTCAGAAGGCCCTGAGACACGTGCAGTGCCACCTGCGCCTCAGGCAAGCGACATCGTCGGAAAGCATGGATGGCAACGGGAAACCTTGGAAGCTATCAAGGGAAGAACACCACCATACCATACCTGTGCGATCCACGGTGAAAACAATAAAAAACCACGGGCACAGGACACTTCTAAACCTTGTTCTGTTTTGGGGGGGCATCGACCATGAACAAGTGGAAATTAACACATTTGTTCAAATCCTGTAATTACAAACAACATTCAACATGCTCTCTCTAACGCAAACTCCTCCTTTGCTTATAATTAGTTCACTCCCCATATCATTGGGGGTTAAATGAAGGTCTTGGTTGATCAAAAGTCTATCAAAAGTCTGCATCGTAGAATCTGCCTTCAGAGATTCACAGTGCATTTGTTACATGTAAAAGCAATGAATCATCTCCGTCTACCAATCTTCCTCACAAAACCCACAGGACGGGACGGGGGCCTCCAACGCCGAGGCCTCTGACGCTGGGTCCTGCGCCTCCCGCGCCAGGCGCAACCCGTCCTCCGCCAGCTCCTGGCGGAGCTAAGTCCAGTCCTTTTGGAGCTTACAGGTTGGGTCTATCCTATTCCCTGGGTCCAGTGGACAGTGGATGATGATGATTAAAGGCCTTTGTCTAAAATAGATTAGTGATGCTGGTTTACTGACTGTTACAGGTAATGGGACACCACCAACTTACAGGCTGGTTAGATGCTTATAGTAGGGGTTGTTGATCTAGACCAACCAGTGGTTTCAGAGTAGATGGCGCAAGGGCCCCCAAATGTCGGTGTTTAGTTGTCCCCCAATAAAAAAGAATCTTGAGGTGCCAGTGCCATCTACTGTACTCTAAAACCACTGTAACTCCCCCAAACTTGAACTACAATCAAGACTCTACACTCTGGAGGGATTTGGGCTGATATGGGTTGCCCCAATGGTACCCAATCTATCATCCATTGCGGCGCCGCTGGCGCCGCGTCGTGCCTGCGCACGAGGCAGGTCGCCTGCGAGCAATCGAAGGGACGCTGGGGCAAGCAATCCTCGCAAGCACTCTATGGATGACATCTATTTTACAAACATGATCAAACATCCACATATCATCACATATCTTTAGTACTCTGGGGAGGCAACGCTTTCTTGCCGCTAGCAAGGGCAAATTTCAACCAAACAAGTGTACGTTTCGTGCGTGTTTGCCAGAGTTCTCAGAGGAAACGCCAAAAAAGAAACAATCTTCACTCAAGCCAAAGAGAATAAAATCCAATAGCAAAGGTCAGCTGACATTCGTGGCATTGGATCACCCAGTTCAAGCAGGCAAGTGGTGGACTGGCACGATCTCAGAAGGCATCGCGGACTGGGGTGCCGGTGTCAGTTCAAAGCCCCGAGTTGCCAACATGAGATGACTGCTGAAAAGAGCTTGAACAACTTGTTCGTCCTGAGGTACAAGTAGGGGCATCGCGGAAGGTGAGGCGCATCTCTGGAACTGCTTTTGTTGGGCCAATTCGGCTCAGGCGGCGTTTCCGGCTCACATCTCCAGCTCACGCGGGTGAGCCATGCTTTGATGGTCGCTCATGTAGTGTTTAGTATATATTAGGTATACCGAAGGACGCCGGATGCACTGGAGAGCGTTGTCATGTCAAGTCACACTTCCTGGCTGTTTCTCTGCTCACCTGGCTGTGATCCTCACTCCTCACTCATGTCACTCATGTCCCCGCCTTTCGCCAACGCCTCCCGCACTAGCTGAGGCAGTTCCGCTGGCGCCATGGGCGCCGAGTCCGCCCCCCCCCCACGCTCCGCGCGCACCGCGTGGGGGCGCGGAAGAGGCGGGCGAAGCTGGGGCCCAGAAGCACCAAGAACCGAGCACCAGACCTAGCACCGAGCCAGAGATTGCCCGCCCATCCACCTGAAGCGAATGGTGCCACGCTGGTCCTTTTTTGTTTGGTGGGGAGACGTCCCCAAAACCCTCAAACAGGTTTTGCGGGTGAACTATGGTGAAGCACTTTCCCCGGGCTAGGTGTGTTCAACGTTGCATTTTCCCTCACAAGCTGGGACGGCGGAGCACCAGCTGGGCATGGTTCAGGACTCCCAGGACTCCTAGGACTCCTGTCGAGGCTCTTCTGTTTGGACACAAGGATGACGACGTGAGGATTGATGAGGACTCGATCTAACCATCTTGGGTTGGAGTGATCTTAGAATCTTATATAGATCTTTCTTATCTGTCTCTGTCTTGTGCATCAAAAGAGCATCCTCATCAATCCTCATACTGCATACTGATGATCTTTTGATGCGCACACTGCCTGAACACCCCGGGACGGAGAGTGATCCTAGACAAGGCGCCAATCCCGGAGCCCCCGTCCTTTTTGCCAAAGCACAAGTACCACCTAGAATTTACAATCTGCCAAGCTCATAGCTAGAGGCCCGCTAACAGGGAACATATATATACCTGCGAAACAAGTGAGGTAGATCCTGTATTGTAATTCTCTGAAACTCCACAAGAAACTCCTACACCCACCCGAGTTATGAGCCGATTGTTCCATCATGGGTGTGCATTCTTTTGGGGGGACCCTCCAACCAACGGGCCTTTTGGCGAATCTTTGATCTTCATCGATCTTCGGGGTCTAAACAGGAGGTCTCCCTATTGCAATGCACCCTCATTCCACCAGCCGACAGAAACGGGCCGTCGGGCGTAGCTGGTCCATTCGTCGCGCTTCAGGAGCGTGGCCGGCGCCCCGTCCGTGGGAGTGACCTGGAGGTTGGTCAGGGTGCGAGATCTGAAGGAGAGAGACGCCAAGAGAAACGTCATTAATAGAGCGCTAAAGAAAAAACAAGCACAAACAAACAAAACACATTAATGCATGTTGGGCACCCAAACTGGACATGGTTGTGAAATTCTGAAAGATCGTGATTCAGAAATTGCTTGTTGGAGTCAAGGTCCAGTTGAAACATTGAGTTCAAAGACCGGAGACCCAACTGGCAGAAATTTGCTGTGAGGCCCTGACCATCCAGCTGCAGCGAGGTTCTTTTAATCCGCCACCCCGCAAGATCCCTCAAGCCACCTGGAAGTTAAACATCGTGGCCGTGAGGTTGTTGCCCTCATTGAACCACATTGCCTCAAGTTCCGCACGCAGGCCGGCCCCGCATGAAGGGCTTCGAACAAGCAAAACACTCCCAGTTGAGTGTCTCTGGGCCTTTGCGGTCATGTATATACTATATGGTAAGTTGTATGGTATTACACATGAATATGAACTATAAACATTACGATATATATATATATATATATGTGCTTTTTGAATAAATCCTTCATCCCCCGAAGTAGACCACAAACATATTCAAGCTATATACGTCTACCACACGTAACGTATGCGGAGCTTAGGCCATGGTTAGCATGCACCAGGGCCCCCCCAAGAAGGTGTCCTGGTATGTCATGTGGTTGTTTATTGTAATGCATGATGGCTCTGCCAACATCATCGGCTAGACAAAAAAAGGTTGGCCAGTTGATGCCAGTTGTACTTTGTGGGGTTACACTGGATAATAGCCATGTATGTGAA